ATATGATAAGATTGATAACTAAGTTGAGCACGAAGCTCCTATCTAATGGCAGACGTGCCAGTCTTATATAGAACCTTCGTGTTCCTGAAGTCGACAATGTCGACTGTCGACATAGTCGATAATCGACTTCTCGACCAGGCGAGAAGTCGACCTGCATATATCACGTGACTTGTATACAAAGAAATTCCTGGATCGCTTAACTAACCTAAGCGATCCCTTTTTTGCTATAAGAGCCATGATGTGTTTGTCCTGTCAGAACCCCGTCTGGACTAACTCCTCACGTGCTAGCACGTGATTTGTGACAATTCTACTATAGATGTAGCTAGTTTATATATAACTAGCTAACAAAGAGTCTTTAATGAAGTAGATATAAGTTGGTAACGTACTTCATAAGGAGTCCGGATTTATAAGCAGTCCGGATTTTTTACCCCACCATCCAACTTTTAAAAACCATAGAACTTTAACCACTTATTATTTATTTATATAAACTATACTATCTTTCTTATTCTCGATCTGGGCACCTAGGAGCAGTATGCGCTAGTGATCTACATATAATACAGGTTCGTGGTGCACGAATTCGTGGTTCAATTAGCGGGGCCACAGCTTCATCCAAAACCATATTATCACTATTTTGAATAAGTTCCCTCCCTTCCTGACCTGTAAGAACACCCCCAGTAGCAATATATTGACGTCGCACAGTCTTCTTCTTCTTTTGACGTTCAGATTCAGCTCGTAAACGTCGATTTTCCTCTGCCAAAACCGTAGCTGATTGCATAGCCATCTTACACCCTTTAACCAATTGATCTAATGCAATAGCAGTAGGGCTTGAGAGAACGTTTGTACGTCGTTTAATAGATGCTTTAATTGTCTGGGTTTGCTGATCTGCCTCATATGTATTATGGGGTGTCTCAGGGACCCAAGGTAGTAGGTTTGGAGAAAGTAAAGGAGGAGTAGGCGTATGTAATTGAGTATGTAATTTACTCAATACTTGATCTGGGTTGTACGGGACAAGGCCAGTAGTTGCGAATCCATTACAGATTGTGTTTTTGACCATAGTACTTGTACGGGCTACACGATATATTGAAAGGAAGTCTGGTTTATCGATATGATATGTGCCGGCTCGTACTAGCTCCTCGACTCCTCGTCCATAAAGTCGCTTTAAAACTGCAAAGCAACTAACATCTAATGGCTGTAAAAGATGAGATGAGTGCGGTGGCATACAAAGCGTTATGATGTTATGTTCTGAACAGAAAAGATCGAATTCGGGAGTAGAATGACTACCATGGCCATCGAGGATTAAAAGTCGATATACTCCTTTTACACGGTCCTTGGTATATTTCTCAAATACGTCTGAAAGCCACTTAAGACCTAAGGAATCATTGGTCCACCCTTTATCACTAAGTGCAATTGTCCAATCTGCTGGTAATTGATCTGTATACCAAGTCGATATATGCACCTTGCCCTCAAATATAACCATTGGAGGCAACACCCATCCATCTGCACAAATTGATTCGACAACTGTAACCCATTCGCGATTCCCTGGTTGTATATGAATAGCCCGTCCTGTATATTCTGACCCTGTAACAACTTTTGCGGTCGCAATTACTCCCATCTGAAAGCCAGTCTCGTCGAAATTGTATATATCCTCCGCTAGTATACCATATTTCGCAACAATATTATGTACTAATCGAAACCAATCTCGGATAATCGTAGGATCCTCGCATTTTGCGCGCTTATAGTCGTATTTACGAGTGTATTTCGTCCGTAAAGAGTCGTGGCGCTTTATAAAGTTGTCAACCCAGCATTTTCCGACAATAATTCGACCTACTCCAGTTCGCTTTTCCAGTAGTAAATCGGCCATTTGGCGTATCGAATCTTTCCGTACTGGCAGACCTCTAGCTTCCATTGATAACATCCATTGTATAAGTGCTGATTCCTCGAGGTCGGTGAGTTTCTGGTTTCGGGGTCGGAAATCGCGTTGTGGAATAGCTCCCTTGACGCGGTCGTAAGTAGTAGAATATGGCGCATCGTACCTTGTACAAGCTGCTTTTAAGCTTGTAAATTGACCCTTATTGTATGCACTGATTGCAAGAGCAATTTGACCTTCTTTTCGAGACATTTGAACAATAATTGGGTAAGTTATGTAGATTGAAAGTGTGTAGGGTGGTCAATGGTGGGGTAAAAAATCCGGACTGCTTATAAATCCGGACTCCTTATGAAGTACGTTATAGTAGGACGGATTACGTAATTTCAACAGCCCACTTAATCCGTACCACGAAAAGTAAGGCTATTCTGTCACGAATCACGTGTTAGCACGTGGTTAGCGAAGACCAGGCGGCGTCCTGACAGGTCAAGCACTACCAGAATACTTATAGCAGATAGGGATGCTTAGGCTAGCTAAGCGATCCAGGGATTTCATAGCAATTATATCACGTGACCAGTAATGGTCGTTTGGTCGCGGCGACCAGCAGCGATCATGAGGATGAAGGTTCTATATAAGACTGGCACGTCTGCCATTAGATAGGAGCTTCGTGCTCAACTTAGATACCAATCTTATCATATTAGTTTGACATCTTTGATACAAGTAACGAGTTCACTTCCAAGTGAACAACCCGATAGTCTTCTTCTTATCATAGCATACCAACCAGCGAACACCCAGCCAAGTTTAGTTAGCCAGTTTGAGTATTCGTTACA